TTGAATGTTGAGTGAATTTTTCATTAATAGATTTTTTTTTTATTTTTAAAGATTTTATTTTTCCTTTTTTCTCCTCAAAGCCCCCCCATACATAGTTGTATATATTTTTAGTTGTGGGTCCTAGTTGTGGCATGTGGGACGCCACCTCAGCACGGCTTGATGAGTGGTGCCATGTCTGAGCCCAGGATTTGAACTGGCAAAACCCTAGGCCGCCAAAGCGGAGCGTGAGAACTTAACCACTTGGCCACGGGGCCGGTCCCTCATTAATAGATTTGATATCCAGAGATGATGCATTCTGCTGCATGTATAGAAAAGAGAACTTTTGAAAAAATGAAGTTATACATCTTGATAAGCATTGTATTTCAAAGTAGTAACCTTGGTAAACTTATTCCGAAAATGGAACACATCTTTGGGATCAATCTTCGGAGCTAGTTTAAAAGCCACGTAAAAGTCAGTTCCAGGGCCAGCCCCGTCATAGTGTTTAAGTTCAGTGTGTTCTGCTTCAGCGGCCCAGGTTCACGGGTTCAGATCCTGGGCATTGACCTACACCAAGCTGGGGCAGCAACCCACATAAAAAAGTAGAGGAAGACCAGCACAGATGTTCATTCAAGGCTAATCTTCCTCAGCAAAAAAAAAAAAGTCAGTTCCATCATTTTAGTTAAACTTAACTATTTTATCCTAAGTGTGTATTATCCAGCTCAAGCATGCACTTATTTTTCAAAATACACAGTGAAATTATTGCATTGGGGTTCTTATCTATAAGCATTAGAAACATTAGTAAGCAACTCCAACTATCTTTAAAAAGGGACTTTACCTGACAGCTCTTGAAGCTTACAAAATTGAAGTGCCTCAAAAATCAGGATGGAAAAGACAGCACCAACAGGCTAGGGAGAAAAAAGCTCAAAGAACCATGTCAGAAAACAGTCTGATCCACAGTGACACTACAGTACTCCCCCCTTATCCTCAGGGGATACATTCCAAGACCCCCAGTGGATGCCTGAAACCTAACAGTACTGAACTCTATATATACTATGTTCTTTCCCATACAGTCAGGCCCCCCCACATCCAAAGGTTCCGCATCCACAGATTCAACAACTGCCGATCAAGAGGCCTATGATGGCTGACTGTACTCAACAGGTATAGCCTTTTTTTCTTGTCATTTTCCCCTAAACAATACACTGTACTAATTACTTACAAAGCATTTACATTGTATTAGGTATTATAAGTAATCTGGAGATGATCTAAAGCATACAGGAGGATGTGCTTAGGTTATATGCAAATACTACATCATTTTCTATGTGGGACTTGAGCATCTGGCAGATTCGGAGAGTCTTGAAACCAATCCCTCTCAGATACCGAGGGACAACTGTACATACATACCTCTAATTAAGTTCAATTTATAAATTAGGCACAGTAAGAGCGGCCAGCCCCACAGCCAAGAGATTAAGTTCATGCGTTCTGCTTCAGCAGCCCAGGGTTTCACTGGTTTGGATCCTGGACGTGGACATGGCACTGCTCATCAAGCCATGCTGAGGCAGCGTCCCACATAGCAGAGCCAGAAGGACCTACAACTAGAATATACAACTATGCACTGTGGGGCCCTTTGGGGAGAACAAAAATAAAATAAATTTTAAAAAAAAGATTGGCAACAGATGTTAGCTCAGGTGCCAATCTTAAAAAAATAAATAGGGGCCAGCCCCATGGCCAAATGGTTGAGTTCTAGCGCACTGCTGCAGCAGCCCAGTGTTTCGTCAGTTCCGATCCTGGGCGTGGACATGGCACCGCTCATCAGGCCATGCTGAGGCAGCGTCCCAAGTACCACAACTAGAAGGACCCATAGCTAAAATATATATGCAACTACGTATTGGGGGGCTTTGGAGAGTAAAAGGAAAAATAAAATCTTTTCTGAATAAATAAATACATATGGGCCAGCCCTGTGGCACAGCGCTTAAGTTTGCACGTTCCCCTTCGGCGGCCCAGGGTTTGCTGGTTCGGATCCTGGGTGCGGCCGTGGCACCGCTTGGCACGCCATGCTGTGGCAGGCATCCCACATATAAAGTAGAGGAAGATGGGCACGGATGTTAGCTCAGGGCCAGACTTCCTCAGCAAAAAAGAGGAGGATTGGCGGCAGATGTTAGCTCAGGGCTAATCTTCTTCAAAAATAAGCAGGTTGATAAGACAGTAAGAATGAACGAATGACAACTTCACACAATATGGATGAACCTCACAAACAATGCTGAACAAAAGCAAGACACAAATGAAAGTACAAAAATGGGCAAAATTATTCTATGCCGAATTCTGAAGTCAAGCTGGTCCTCAAGGACTGGGCAGTGACTGGCAAGGAGATCAAGCGGGGCTTCGGGAGAGCTGGCCATTTGTTTCCGGCTCGAGGCGCTGATTTCACAACTGTGTTCAGTTTGCGAAAATTCACCACACTGATATGTGCACTTTTCTTCAGGTTTACTACTCAACAAAAAATATTTTTAAAAAACCATAGTCTCAGCTTTTTCAAAAAATCACAGTAAAATTAATTTCACCATTTCACAATATCTTAAAATTTTTTCTTGTTTTGATTTCAAATAAGGTTAGTTCACACATATATATAAAATGTGTCCATCATTAATGACCTACCTAACCTTAAAGTTTAGCTTTTAAATATTTTAAAAGTACCCAGATATTACAAATATGAACACTAAGTTAAAATAATAAAAAGTTAAAGCAGTGAATTTTTTAAGCTACATATTATAGCTAAAGTTTAGAACTACTTAATAGCAAATTAAGTTAAAATCTACTATTGACAAGCCTAAATGCCCAGACTCTAGGTAAGAGAGTAATTCCTGCCCCTGAAAAAAGTGATATTAGTTGAAGACAGGGGAGGGAAACCTGCCAAGGAGAGAAACAAGAATGGATGAGCTGACAGGCCGGTTATTAAGATGTTTAAGGACAGGAAAACATATATAGGCTAATCCCTAAAACCAAAATCTAAAGCAGTGCAAAATCTCAACTTCACCCCTCTCTACTCCAACTCCCTGAATTGCTTGCAAAAGGAGGAAAAAAAAATTTCTCTATGTGGTTGTTGAAATCAGCAAAAATTGCTTAGAATTAGCTAGTGTCTGGACCTTGGATATGACGTGGCCAAGTACAGTGAACCATGACACAAAATAAATACAACAGATGGCTTCAATTATCTGCCACCAAAAAATCTTAAATTGTCTGAACTTTGTAAGTACCATTAAGCTTCAACAAATAAATTCTTTAGATTATCTTCAAGAAAACCAATCACAGAAAAATACCACGTTAATATGCTTTAACGTAAACACATACTTGGAAAAGCAAAAAGGTACTTTCTCACAATAATTCCTCACTTAGTGTGACTCAGAAAGCCAAAAGCTACTTTTAGTTTTAGGTTCTGTTTGTTTTTTAAGTTTTAGTTTTACACAGAGTACATATCCATATAGAAAAGTCTCAAAACTATAAGCCAAAATGTTCACTCAAGAACACGAATGACTTGTTTTCTTCATTTTCCTTCTTTTTTTAATTTTCTAAAACGTAACTTTTGCCCCAAAGGAGAAAAATAAGGACTTAAAGAAAAATGTTTACTACCAAGATTCTAAATAGTGAAGCCTAAAAAGGCAAATGAAATCTTTCTAAAGCCACATTTCTAAGACACTATACATCTAGTTTGCTTTTTTCATCCAAAGAACAAAAAGTAATTTCACATACAGCCTGCTTTCATCGTAACTCAATATTTAATAGACAGATAATGGGCCCCTCTCAAGGCCAGAGGGACCTACACTTTTTTCAAAGTGATCATTATTAAAATCTGAACAAATGGGAAACCCAGATATTGCAAATGCTCTAGACATTTCTAATCAAGATAAACTTTAATATCTGACAAGTTTCAGTGAAATAAGTAAGATCAGTTGTTTCATGAGGATGAAATGTTTTTTGCCCACCTTCATGAGTTGGGAAAGCCCTCCTAAAAATCAAGACAAATAACACTGAGATTTCTGTGTCTGACTCAAAATGTACTGTCTGTACTTTCCACGCTAGGATAACAAGTTCCAAAACCACCTCACCGTACCTGATTTACAGAATATCCATCCATCTTTATGACTGTCCACAAGTCTGTCTTTAAAAATAATCATTTTTGTAGCTGGACGGATAAGCGCTAAAGCAACTACAGCAAAATATTAATTATAGAACCTAGGAGGTGAGTACATTGTGGTCCACGGTAGCTTTTGTTTTCAACTTCTCTATGTGTGAAAACTCTCACAAGACATTGGGGTGAAAATAATCGTTTTCAAAGTCAGAACACAAAGAACAGCTATCCCAACTTTAACCCATCTAAAGCTGTGAGGCCTTTCACGAAATCACAAACCTAGCATTTCAAGCATCCCTCGAAAAACCCTTCCTTAAGATGGCCAGACTTTCCCGGGAAGAGCCAACTGATAAAACACAAAGCGCTTCTAAAAACAATCTCTCACCCAAAGCAAGTTTGCCTACAAAGTCATTTTCCAGGAGGTTTCATAAGAATTTTGTTTCACTTTGATCAGTAAAACTTTTGCCTCCAATACCACGGCCCTGAAATTTTTCAAAGTTCCAAACAGTACACCTTAAGTTTTTCCTTTAAAGCCCTCAAGAATCAGATCCGTAGAGCCTTCCCAGGTCCTCAAACCTGCAGAAGCCAGGAGCTCAGGGCGCTGGTGGCTCCAGGGGATGTACTCTAACGGGCAGGCTCCAGGTGGGAACGGTACCCTGCGGTCTACACAGGTCAAACGCGCAGGAACAGCGAGCAGGCAGCAGACTGCCCGGGAGTCCAAAGGAAAGGAGTGACTGTGAAAGGTGAGAGGACACATCCGAGCACCCGGGCGGGAGGACCTGGAAGCGCCGGGCCGGCCGCGCGCGGAGCTCGGATCCTTGGAGGCCGGGCGCGAGGAGCCGAGGCCGGGCTCCCGCCACCCCCGCCCCGCCCGCCCGCCCGCCCGCCGCGCCCGCACCTCTCGGTCCTTGAGGCCCAGGAGGAGCACCTCCTCCATCAGGGTCAGCCGCGTTTCCTTGGAGTCGCCCTTGTCGTCGTCGTCCTGCTCGTCACGGCGGCTCTGCGCGTCGTCCTCGCCGCCGCCGCCGCCGCCGCCCGCCGCCCGCTCCTTGTCGGCGGCGCTGCGGGAGGCCTCGGTGCGCCGCTGCACCAGGCCCGAGCTGCGCTGGGTCAGCGAGGTCATGGCTCCGGCCGAGGCGCCGCGCCGGGCCGAGAGGGACGCGGGACCTACCGGGTCTCCCTCCTCGGCCCCGGACGCGGGCTTCCGTGTTAAATCCGGGCGCTGTCGGCAGCGGGGCCGGGGGCAGGCATGGGGAGGCGGGCGGCGGCGAGGCGGGCGAGCCGGGCGCCGGAGAGACCCTTCTTTGCTGCGACCGCGGCCCCCAAGGCAGCCCGAGCTTCTAGACGGCGGCGGCGGCGGCGGCGCCTTTCCAATATGGCGGCGCAGGCTGACGTCACCGGAGGATGTGGCACCGCCGGCGTGGGGCGGGGCCGGGGCGCCGGAAGCGGCGGGCGGGGCGGGGGACGAAGGCTTGCCGCCGGCGACCCCCTCCCGAGCCGGGGTCTCCGCCGACGCTCGCCCGTTCTTCCGCGTGCCTTCGCCGCCCGTCCCGTCTCCCTCCCTCTGGTGACGTGTCCTCCCTCCGTCCGCTCCCCATTCGCACCTCCAGACCCGGGCTGCAGCCAGAGACTGGCGGGGCCGCCACGAGTCGGGGCAGCCGTGGCCTCGCGAGGGTGGACCCCGCTCGGCCTCGAGCTGTGTCGTTAGCACCCCAGACCCCGGCACCCTCGGAGCCGGCGCTGGGCTCTGTGCCCCTTCGGAAGGAGCGGCTGCATTTCGGTGTCTTGAAAGTGGACTTTGAGTATTTCCTAGGTGTATTACTGCGTGAAAAGAAAGGCTGGAACACATTGAATGGTTTCGTTCTTAAAACTTTTTTCCTCGCCTCCTGACTCGTCAGGTGACCTGGGCGCCGTGAGTACAGTTAGTGCTGCCCACGTCAGTGCGCGCGACCTGAACAAACTTTATAGACACAGTAAACCTGTGGGGTTGCATGCCACGTCTTTGTTACACGTTAATCTCTCTCAATTTCCTAGGTTAAATCCTCTTGGCGTGCTTGACAGTTTGTGCAAGTTATGTTAAAGGGGAGACGGCAAACCAGGGAGAGCGGGGTTTGGAGGGCCAGAAGGGTGGTGCGTTTAACATTATCCAGAAATAACATTGTATGCCATCTTAATATTTAAAGTCAACAAAGACCACAGGCTGTGGCTACAGAATAGTTTAGATAGGAGAAATATATCGTAAACAGGACTTAAGTCGTAATAAATGAGAAATTAAATGATAAACGCCCACCGTGAAACTGTCCCATAGAAGATTCTGGCTACTGTTCTTCCCCTCTTCAAACCCATTATCCAGAACTCCTCCGGGCCGCTCACCATGCCCACCCCACACCCCGGGAAGTGAGACCGATCCATCTAGAGGAGGGAGGAGGGGGCAGGGTGAGCACAAAGTAGTCCCTCCTTTTTTCCTGTTTTATGGGCAAAGTTCAATTTCACCTCAACCAATTTCTCCCATTCACATCCTGTTCAACTGTTTTTTTCTTTCATGTCTCTGCCAGTTCTTTCCCAAATAGCCTAAAGTATGTTTCTTTAATTACCTTCCTAAAAGAATTGTAATTAATTTATTATTTGATTCATACATAGTCAGATACATAGTTCAAGGAGCGTACAGATAGATGTAGTGAAAATCTGCCAGCCCTGCCCCTGTTCAACCGGTTGTTCTCCCCGTCCCCTTCCCTCCCCCGGGGGTTTTACAATATGCCAACAATCCTCGGATACTCCTCCTCCCAAAAGGTGAAGCCTCGTTCCCCTCTCCTTGAGTGTGGGCCAGATTTAGTGACTCTCTTTAAATGAATAGAATGTGGCAGGTGTGCCTAGGTCATAAAAGTCTTTCCAGCTTCTTCCTTAATCTCCCTCTCCCCACTCCTCTCTCTCCCTCTCTCTTTTCTCTCTCTCTCTCAGATCATTCACTTTGGGGGAGGCCAGCTTCCATATCATGAAGACATTCAAGCAGCCTTTTGAGAGGTCCATTTGGGAAGGAACTAAGGCCTCCTGCCCACAGTCATGTGAGAGAGTGAGCCATCTTGGAAGGCGATCCCCCCATCTCCAGTGAAGCCTTTAGTTAACATCTTGATTACAACCTCCTGAGATTCTGAGCCAGTTCTGTCACCTGACTAATTGCCCGGAGGAACTCGAGGGTGGGTTTGGAAGCATTTAACTCTTTTTCCAAAATGTTATTTATTCCCTTTTGTTGTGTTAAGGAGATGCAATCACCAACCACCTTGAACCGGCCCAAGCCTCACCACAAGAGCTACCCCTATGACCTTTGCCTTCTTTTTTCTTTTTTTTTTTGAGGAAGATTAGCCCTGAGCTAACTACTGCCAATCCACCTCTTTTTGCTGAGGAAGCCTGGCCCTGAGCTAACATCCCTGCCCATCTTCCTCTACTTTCTATGTGGGACGCCTATCACGTCATGGCGTGCCAAGCGGTGCCATGTTGCACCCAGGATCCAAACCGGCGAACCCCGGGCCGCCAAAGCGGAAGATGTGAACTTAACCGCTGCAGCACCGGGCAGGCCCCCTTTGCCTTGTTTTTAATGCTAAAATCTCTCCAAGAGGAGCTTAGGTCTTATTACCATAACCTGCAGTGTGTGTGGAAGCATGTTTTCCAACTGAGCCTGCGCAAGCGAATCCCCACCTCTCCCTTTCGAATATTCATTCCCCATCCGAAATAAATGTCCCTGCTTCCCTTTGTTTGGGGACGCCATGACTTTGGAAATGATTTGCCCACGGTCTCCTATTTGCTGCTTATATACTTTTACTTTGTGAGACAACTACTTCTGGTGGAGAGTCTGATTTAACTTGCCGGGAGGCAAATCCACTGTTGTACCACCCAGCTAAGCCATTCCTGAACTTCTGAGTTACAAAACCTGTGACATAATAAACACCTGTTGTCTTAAGTTGCTAAGTTTGGGGTCATTTATTATGCCGTAAATAGATACCGAAATACTTGGGCTCATCCACACACAAATAGGTAAGAACTAATGCTATTTTCCTGGCTATCCTTCCAGAGATTTTTTTAATGTATATTCAAGCAAATATGAAAATATATTTTTCTTCCCTTTTTATACAAATAATAGCACATTATACACATTGTTTTGTATCTTGATGTTTTATATAATTGATGTTGGAGAGCTTTCTATATCAATACTTAAGAGCTTTTCATGCTTTGTTTCAGCTGCATCATATTCTGTTCTATAAACGTACCATAACTTTTTTTTTTGGTCAATCCCCTATTGATGTACACTTAGGTTGTTTCCAATCCTTTGCTATTACAAACAATGCTATATAAATATAATGGGGAACACTTTCTTCCTTTCTGAAAAAGGCCTTTCTGGATTATAATCCTCACCTTGGCTCAAGTAAAACTCACCTTATTTCTCTTAAAAAATATAAATATGGGGCCGGCCCTGTGGCCAAGTAGTTAAGTTCGCACTCTGCTTCAGTGGCCAACTCCGCTTCAGGGTTTCACTGGCTCGGATCCTGGGTGCAGACATGGCACCGCTCATCAGGCCACGCTGAGGCGGCATCCCACATGCCACAACTAGAAGGACTCACAACTAAAAATATACAACTATGTACTCGGGGGATTTGGGGTGAAAAAGCAGGAAAAAAAAGAAGATTGCCAACAATTGTTAGCTCAGGTGCCAATCTTTAGGAAAAAAATCCATAGGGGCCAGCCTGGTGGCGTGGCAGTTGAGTTCACACGTTCTGCTTCGGTGGCCCAGGGTTTATCGGTTCAGATCCCAGGTGCGGACGAGGCACAGCTTGGCAAGCCATGCTGTGGTAGGCATCCCACATATAAAGTAGAGGAAGATGGGCACGGATGTTAGCTCAGGGCCAGTCTTCCTCAGCAAAAAGAGGAGGATTGGTAGCAGATGTTAGCTCAGGGCTAATATTCCTCAAAAAAACAAAATATATGTATACGTATATATAAAAATATAATGAATAGCCACATATGTTTTTGTCCACCAAAATGTATGCTCGTGGTCTGTCTCCTCACAAGTACCACACTCTTCAAGTCATTGAGACTTTACGCAACTTCGTTGCTCTTCTCTTTTTTTTTTCCCCAGAGTTTTCCTGGCATTTTTTTCCTTGCTTGTTATCCACAAGGTAGACTTCAAAATCACCTTGTCTGGAAACAAAGACAAAGAGAGAAGGCAGGAAGACAAGAAGGATATGATAGTTTGGAAAGCGAAATATATGTTCCTCATAACAATGACCATTTTTTTATTGACTGCTGAGTATGTGCCAGGCATGTTCTCCAGTAACTGCCCCCAGAACCCTGCAGAGGAGGTGCTGCCGTTCTGCATGGACTCCAGCCACCTCGTGCAGCGTAGCCTGTCAGCGCCACACCTTGGGCTCCCATGGGGCAATCTGGAAGTGTGCAGGAGTTAGCACTCAGAGCTGGTAGATAAAAGTTCCCTTTTCTCTCCCCAAATGGATTGTGGAGATCCTTTACACACCCTCTCGTGGCGCTAAGCTGCAACAAGCCCAACAATACCTTCTTGATACAGCTCTCCCTCCTTTGCTCCTCACTCGCCCTCGCCCTCGCTCTTATTCCAGGGAGTTTGCACTCCCTAACAAAATAGTAGCACAAAAGCTTTTGTCTTAGGCCCTGCTTTCTGGGAATCCCAGAGTAAAACACTCATTTCAGTTGCGAAGAAACTGAGGTACAGAGAAGTTCAGTAATCTGCCTAATATAACACATCTGGCACATTGAGAGCCTGCATTAGAACCCAGGTTCTGCGTTCAATCATTGAACAAATACTTGTATTTATACATATTTTCTATGTGCTGGGCACTGTGCTGAGAAATGAGGATATCATGGTAAGCCAAAAGAGACACAGTCGTAGCTTCCATGGGCTGCCTAGTGGAGGGCACAGCTATTAAGCAAATCATCACACTAATTAACATATAAATTGAGAAATGCTTTGAATACATTTGAATATAGAAGGAATACCATATTATGAGAGCATGTATTCTCAAATATATGAGAAACTTGTATTTTATCTGGGACTCAAAGAAAGCAACTCTAAGAAAGTAGTAAGCTGGAGAATGAGCAGAAGTTAACTAAACCAAATTGGTTGGTCATTCCCCAGAGGAAATAGCCTGTACAAAGGCCCTTGGGCAAGGAGAGACTGTAGAATGATGGAGAATCAAATAGAAGACCATTTTGGCTGGGCTGCAGGGGAGAACGTCATCAAAAGCAACAGTCACAGACAATGGTCAAATCATGCAGTGCTGTGAAGCCATTTTAAAATTTCCCTCTGTTTTCAACCAACACAACGAGAAGCCATTAAAGGTGCTTTTAAATGGTCT